TCATTGGGAAATTTTCTTTTATTGCTGCTTTGGTTATTTCCTTTCTTACTTACTTCTTTCTTTCTGTAACTATCTAGATGGATCCTCCATGTCACAACTTCTCTTTGTCCTTTTGGCACCTTTCTGGGAGAAACCCTCAGTTTATTTATTTATTTTGAGATGGAGTTTTGCCCTTGTTGCCCAGGCTGGAGTGCAATGGTATGATCTCAGCTCACCGAAACCTCTGCCTCCTGGGTTCAAGCGATTCTCCTGCCTCAGCCTCCTGAGTAGCTGGGATTACAGGCATGCACCACCATGCCTGGCCAATTTTGTATTTTTAGTAGAGACGGGGTTTCTCCATCTTGGTCAGGCTGGTCTGGAACTCCCGACCTCAGGTGATCTGCCCGCCTCAGCCTCCCAAATTGCTGGGATTACAGGCGTGAGCCACTGTGCCTGGACTATGCATTTTTTGAGACAGAGTCTTGCTCTATTGCCCAGGCTGGAGTGCAGTGGTGCAACCTCCGCCTCCTGGGTTCAAGTGATTCTTGTGCGTCAGCCTCCCAAGTAGCTGGGACTAGAGGCATGTGCCACCATGCCTGGTTACTTTTTATAGAAACCCTCAGTTTAATCTTTTAGCTTACTGCTGTGTTTTTCAGCTTTATTCACTTTGCTTTTTTTCTATATTTTCATTTCAACTCAGCTTTTTAAAAATCATACTTGTATATTTGTATTTATTTTCCAAGACCTCATTTACTTTTTTTTTTTTTTTTTGAGACAGAGTCTCACTCTGTCACCCAGGCTGGAGTGCAGTGGCGCGATCTCGGCTCACTGCAAGTCCGTCCGCCTCCCGGGTTCACGCCGTTCTTCTGCCTCAGCCTCCCGAGTAGCTGGGACTACAGGTGCCCGCCACCATGCCCAGCTAATTTTTTTGTATTTTTTTTTAGTAGAGATGGGGTTTCGCCGTGTTAGCCAGGATGGTCTTGATCTCCTGACTTTGTGATCTGCCCGCCTCGGCCTCCCAAAGTGCTGGGATTACCAGCACCCGGCCCTCATTTGCCTTTTTCATAATGGGCTGTTGCTCAATGGTACAGAATCTTCTGTGTTCTTTCCTGAATTATTAGTTATTTTTAAAATCTTTGTTAACTTTCTCCCCCTTGCTAGTTCCCAGGTAGCTTTCTCCCAGAGTGCTGGCTTTCCTTAACTATTTGCTGACTTGTGCTGGTGTGTAACCCTTCATATTTGGGTATTTCTATTTGTCTGACTGCTGATTTGATTCCAATCCAGTGTTTCTTCTGATTTTTGGAGAAAAGACGGCAATCCTGTGAGGCTCTGGTTTGGTGGCTTGTCTGGGTGTGGGGGCTTCTCGTCCTCATGGGGTTGTTAGCTCCCCAGGTCGCCATCCCGCATGGCCACTCTCCTGCCGACGCTGCCTGATACTCAGAAGGAGGGGAAGTCGAGACCTCCTCCTTATCCTTACAGACACTGATTGTGAGCTTGGAGCACCTTCTGTGACTGGACCGCCCATGCAGTGGTCCTTTGCTTTTTGTGTTTTTAACTGCAGTTTCCCCCAAGAGTCTTTCCTAATACAGTCTCTTAGGAATTGATGGTGGGATTAAATAAGTCTTGTTTCTGCACTGAATACAGTCCATGGGTTGCCACTTTGCAACCTCAGCTTTAAGGCTTATCTCCTCCCAGGAAACTGATTTTAACTTTTTAAGTTAAAAATGGGTATATAAGGCCGGGTGCAGTGGCTCACGCCTGTAATCCCAGCACTTTGGCAGGCCAAGGCGGGCAGATCACGAGGTCAGGAGATCGAGACCATCCTGGCTAACACAGTGAAACCCCGTCTCTACTAAAAAAATACGAAAAATTAGCTGGGCATGGTGGTGGGTGCCTGTAGTCCCAGCTACTCGGGAGGCTGAGGCAGGAGAATGGCGTGAACCCAGGAGGCAGAGCTTGCAGTGAGCCGAGATCGTGCCCTGCACTGCAGCCTGGGCGACAAAGCGAGACTCCGCCTCAAAAAAAAAAAAAAAAAAGTGTATAAGTAATACATGTTTATTTTGGAAATTAGAAAATACAGACCAGGTGTGGTGGCTCATGCCTGTAATCCCAGCATTTTGGGAGGTCGAGGCAGGAGAACTGCCTGAACCCAGGAGTTCGAGACCAGCCTGGGCAACATAGGGAAACCCCATCTCTACAAAAAATTAAAAATGAGCTGGGAGTGGTGGTGCTCACCTGTGGTCACAGCTACTGGGGAGACTGAGGTGGGAGGATAGCTTGGGAAGGGGAGGTTGAGGCTGCAGTGAGCCATGATCACACCAATGTGACACAGTGAGAAAAAAAAAAGGCAGAAAGAAAATATAGGTAAACAGGAAGACAAAAATAAAAGCAGGGCACGGTGGCTCACCCTGTAATTCCAGCACCTTGGGAGGCTGAGGCAGGAGGATCACTTGAGGTCAGGAATTCGAGACCAGGCTGGACAGCATGGAGAGACCCCATCTCCACAAAAAATACAAAAATTAGCGGGGCACTGTGGTGCGCACCTGTGGTCCTGCTACTCGGGAGGTTGAGGTGGGAGGATCGCTTGGGTCCTGGAGGTTGAGGTTGCTGTAAGCCATGATGGCATCACTCCACTCCAGTCCAGGTGACAGAGCCAGACCCTGTCTCAAAAAAAAGTGGCTGGGCATGTAAACTTACCAAGGAGACAAGTCTTCAGATAAAGGAAGGCAACTCAAAGGATGGACTTTCAAACATTTGCAACCAGCACTGGGAACAGCAGTAGGTTGGGGAAGAGGGAAATCTAGAACTCACGCCTGAAAACTGCCAGTCATCCAGCCCATTTTTCCTTACAGACATTTGGAAATAAGTTAATGGAGCCATTTTGGTGAGAGCCCTCAGTTCCCTTCAGGAAGCCTTTGTCAGGAAGAGGGTGGGGCAGGGTACTCATCCCCCATCCAAATCTGGAACTGAAACCAGCTTCAAAGCCAAGCGCAGAGCCATCACGATGGCTCACGCCTGTAATCCCAGCACTTTGGGAGTCCAAGGCAGGCCTCACTTGAGGTCAGGAGTTCCAGACCAGCCTGGCCAACATGGTGATTGCACCACTGCGCTCCAGCCTTGGGTGACAAAGCAAGACTGTCTCAAAAAAACAAAACAACAATAAAACAAAGCAGAGTGCAGGAATGGCTGTGGACTCTAGATGCCCTGCTAGGATTAGGATGGGTGTTCCTGGCTCATGGGCCTCACTGGCTCTTCTGGTGCCCTGCCACCCCCACCCCAGACTGGCTTTGAGCCCTGGAAACCTTGACAGCTTTCTAGAAGTGTCTGTCAGTTAGGTCGTGCTACGCGAAGTTGCCGTTTCTGCAGGTCAAAAAGTGGTGGACTATTGGCAATTTCTAGGCACCTCTGGTCTGGTTGGTCCAAATCCTCCAACCTGTGGCACATTTATTTAGCGCTCATTTTGTGCCATCCTGCCTGCTAAGCACCTTATAGCCATTTTTATTTGTATTTATTTTTCTTTTTGAGACAGGGTCTCGCTTTGTCACCCAGGCTAGAGTGCAGTGGCGCAATCTTGGCTCACTGCAACCTCCACCTCCCGATTCAAGCGATTCTCCTGCTTCAGCCTCCCGAGTAGCTGGGATTACAGGGGTGCACCACTACGACCGGCTAATTTTTGTATTTTTAGTAGAGACAGGGTTTCACCGTGTTGGCCTGGCTGGTCTCGAACTTCTGGCCTCAAGTGATCCACCCGCCTCGGCCTCTCAAAGTGCTAGAATTACAGGTGTGAGCCACCGCGGCCTGCTATAGCCATTTTAGAACTGTCACAGGTTTCTGAGGCACCGGATTGTTCACCATTTGACAGAGAAGAAAACTCGGGCTCAGATACTCCCCTTTTGGAATTGTTTCGGGGGCTGCCTCGTCCGTCAAACTTAAAAAAAATAACAACAGCAGCATCCTGAGTTGAAGTTAAAAGAGCTGGGGTCTGGAGGCCTCTGGGCTCAGGGGCGCTGCCACTCAACCGCTGCGCCGCGCTGGGGACGCGCACGGGCAGCAAGTTCCCAGCTCTGTGGACGCCAGGTCTTAAACAAATCCTGTCGGTATTCAGTCACCCAGTGTTCCCATCAATACGATGAGAATAATGGGGACAATAGCCACCTAGTCCGGCAAAGTCAGGCGTGAGCTGCGAGGACTCGGTACCGCCCGGCAGGGGAAAGCAGGGCCTGGAGGCCGAGGAGCCCCACCCGCACCCACCACGTGGAG